GTTTCTACTCCCCAATCCTCATCTGTGATTGCCTTCAAGCTCTCATTGTGAGTACCCATTATGCAACAACTACAACGTTGATCTTCTCCCATCTCACTCATACTCGACTTGATAGCTCTTCTCCAACCTCTCAACCAGTCACCAGTAACTCGTCTCTTTTATGCCCTATTTCTTAATGAACTTACTGTTGGACATGTATGGTAGTAGTTTATGCTTTTTTTTCTATGAACTTTGCTGATGATAGTTGCAGTTTATGCCTCTCTTTTTTTTTTTTTTTTTTTTGGACTTATATGACAATTTACACTACTTATATGGTAGCTTATGCCTTTTTTCTTTATGAACTTGTTGCTGACTTGCTGGACCTGCTTGACATGTATATATTGACTGTGTATATTTACTGCTTGTTTGTCTTGTTTCAAATCAAAACTTGATTTACCACCACTACCACCACTCCTTCAAATTTCTTGATCTACCAAAAGAAGTAAAACTTGTGTTAACTTTCATTTAGCACTCAATGTGGAAAACAACAGATAATTTATCTAAGTGGATGCCTCCTTCATCCCACCACCACCACAATCCTTCAAATTTGTTGATCTACCAAAAAACAAGATACTTGTATTAATTTCATTTAGCATTAAATGTGGGAACAGCTGACAATTTAAGTAAGTGGATGCCTTATTCATTGAATAGCCTTGAACCCTATGATAAATCCCACCACTCTTGGTAGTGCAGAAATTTTGGTGCTACCTCATTGTCTTTCTTTTATCATCTCCACTTTGCCAATTGTCACAAAGGATGCAAACGCGTTAAGCCCCCACAAAATGCTTTGTTCCTGTCATCCTTTTTGACTTTTGAAAAAAAAAATGTATAATTCCTGCTGCTCCTGTCTTCCAACATCATGATAAACGTTTAGAAAAATCTCCCATGTAAATGTAAACACTCAGCAGTACCAGCCTTATAATATATAACCAACATCAACACATCATTTCTGTCCACAAGGAAAGGTTAATTGTAATGGCAATGGCAAGCAGTACTACTCTTCTTCATCTTCTCGTACTTCTTCTGGGGTTATCTCATATTCTCTGCTTGAATGCTGTCCCTGTTACAAGTAAATCTTCGACAATCTTTAACTTTTTGTGTTCTTTTTGTCGCCTGCATGCCCTGACATTTTCTTGGTTTGTAGGAATTGGAAGTGTGGTAGATCAAATTCGTGTTCGTCAAGTTTCAGAGAACATCCACTTGGTATACTTAACAAAGCTCATGACATATACATATTTCTTGTTTTGCTTCAGTTCATTAACATAAATGTTCTTTTTCCACATGTAAATGCAAAGAAGAACCAGGATGGAAACATAATTAATCCAAGGTTGATGCTGGAGTTGAATGATTATCCAGGTTCCGGTGCCAATAACCGCCACACGCCAAGCAAGACATAATTTGGGAGATGTTCTAATTGTTACTAGTTTCCCTATGTTGTTGGAGGTGTGTCTTTCATGATATATAATATTAGTGTCATAAACATGATTTTGATCCATGAGATTAGATGTGTGAGTTAAGTCGTAGCAAGTTGTCCTGTACTTGTGACTTTGTCAGATTAACTAGACGTGTGGAGAAGTTGTAACGTAATGTCGAGGGGAGAAGGGGATGAGGGGAGGTTGAGCAAGTACTAAGAACAAGTTGTCGTAAATTTAGATAATTTTAGAGAATTTAAGCAAAGTTGTTGATCTACTTTTATCTACTTGCATGAAATAAGAGGATATTTACTATTAGTCTATTAGTACCCTGTTTTTGTCTAATTTCGTATCTGCAATGGAGGTTTTTACTTTTAGAAGTACTGAAATCATCCTGGGGAAGTAGAAACCTACCCTCTTAGTTGGGTTTTGGAGCAAAGCTATGCATTAAAATTAGTAAAGGAAAAAGGAAGGGAAAAGATGCAAGGGTTCTTAAAAGAAAGAGAAAAAGATATGTATTAATCTTATTTATGTAGATAAAAATAAGAAAAGAGAAGGGTTATATATTTTATTTAATTAAATAATTTTAAAAAATAAAATAAAATATTATAATT